TTTCACCTCCCCCCTCAGGGCAGTCAGTCATTGTGTGTGCGCGTGTGTGTGCGTGCGGCCCCACATGGGAGGGGTGAGCAGGGGTCCCCCCAGGATCTGAGGGGCTCTCATTCCCAGTGTAAACCCCAGGGGAGGGTTGAGTCTGGCCTGATGCCAAATCTAGGACGTGGGCATTAAAACACAGACGGGGAATAAAACCCAGCCCTAGTGCCACAGTGAGACACGGCCACAGGGCGCAGACCCAGCCAAAATCATGGTGCGATATCTCTGTCAAACCCGCAGAAGAATTCAGGTGCCAGGGAGGTTCTCAAGGGGCACACAAGGGCCTCCAGGATGCTCTAGGCTGAGAGCCCAAATCCCAACCATCACACCTGGAGAAAGAGGCATGTTTCCTAAGGACCCTGGGCTGGCTCGTGGCACCTGGAGGACATTGGCGTCAAACACAAAACCCTCCATGTGTCAGAAGAGCCCGGAGCTGAGACGTGGGCACGTGATGCCTCAGGGCATCTTCTCCAGGCGGGAAACGGACCAAGGGCGTCGCACACCGAAGTGTGTCCTGATGCCTCCTTCAGACGTGGCCGAAGAGAGTGAACCCGTGAGAGAGAAGTGTCTCAGAGGACAGAGCCCTGAGGACAACGCATCAGAGCCACCAAGCCAGGGCTTCAGGGACACCCACCCCCAGAGACCCAGCCTGCCAGCAGACAAAGAGCCCGCCACCCTTCCCCTACAGGAGCGCCCCAGCCCTTCGCCTGCTCTTGGTCCCCGGTGCTGAGCCCTGGGCCAGGGTCACTCCTACTCTGGCTGGAAGGTGTGTTGCGTAGGGGACCCCTGCAGGACGCAGACCACGAGACCCTGGATTCAAGCGTCGCATCCTGGCTGGATGAGACACGGGGAACGTGAGACAGAAGGTGGGGGAAGACCCTCGAGGCACAGAAGGGAGGTGAGCTGGTGTGGCCGAGAGCAAGGACTGAGCAGCAACTCGGAGGACATGGCAGAGTGACTCTGTGCCTATGTCGAGCTTTTGAAGGATTCCGGCTCCTTCCTGACCTGTGTGCCTTTGCCACGGCCGTGAGACCAGCACACCACGGTCAGCCCACCACTTAAAGCACAAGGGACGTGCGGAGCTGAGCCAGCTCAGACCAGCCCACCTCCTGCCAACACAAACCTGTGAAAAGAGATCCAGCTGAGAGCCATGGAGCACAGGTGAGCCCGGCTGGCGCCAGCCGGTCCAAGCTGACACCCCGGCAGGAAAGCTAAACTGGTTTACGGCACCAAGACCTTGTGCTTGTTTGTTACACGGCAGTAGCTGACTGATCCTATTGTTTTCTCTTCAGGTGATCTCATCCATGCCTGGCACCTTCGTCACCAAATACACATGGGTGACGCCAAAGTATCTGCCTCTCACCCAGGCCTGGACTCCACCTCCCCCCAGAACACCTGCATTTGGGTGTCCTGGGGCTGCTCAAGCTCCAGCCCACCCCGGTCTTCTCCAGACCACCACGTTGCCTTTCCAAGTGGCCCCGAATCCGTGTCCCCATCTACATCTCCACCGCTCTGGGGTTTTTCAAAGACCATTTATCTTCCAGGGAGGCCCTGCTCCCCGAGCCCCGCCATCACTTTCTTAACTCCCACTGCCCTTCATTTCTCAGCTCAAATGTCTCTTCCTCCAAGAAGCTCTCTCTGACTCCTCGTCCCTGTCCCGGAACAGGTAGGGCCTGCCATTGTTTTGCATTTGGCACCTGTCAGCGTGTTTCCCTGGGTCTGTAACTGTGTGCTCGGGTGACTGCGCTGGTGTCTGCATCCCCCAGTGACAGAGCTGCGTGTGCCTGTTTCGCTCACTGCCCCCGACGGCCAGCACCACACCCACCACGTGAATGTGAGGTGCTAGGCAAATGGCTTCCTGAGCAAGGGTAGGATGTCAAGGAAGACACGGAAGGTGGCAGAGACTCTGCAGAGAAGGCACAAGGCAGGCCGCACTGGACCGGCCGTGATCTATTTCGCACCAGGTAAGGGATGGCAGCATGTTTCTGCCAGGGGATCCAGAGGACACAGGCAGAAGGGAGGCTCCTGGCTTGGCATCCCCTGCCCAGTCAGCATGTGCCCTCCCACCCCTATTCCTTCGTGATGATAAAGGGCCCTGCTGGGCTCAAGTCATGGCACCATCAACGGCTTGGGGTCACCAAACTCCTCTCAGCAAGAAGTTGGATATGAAGACCTGCAATTTGGAACAATGCTCCCAGGGTCCAGGGGGACCACAAGTCGAGCTTTAAAAAGGAGAGCTGGTGGACAGCGGCTTGCTCTCACGGCAGGACAGTGTGCGCACAGGAGGCTGTGGGAGAGGAATGAGAGGGTCGGGCCGGCTCCGTGCACGTGCTGCCGGCTCTCCCCAGTGTCGTGGGCACCACAGACGGCAAAACCACGCAGCCCTGGCCCCCAGCCCCACACAAAGACCAGACCAATGCAGCATTTGTGCTCTGGGTGCCACCGGAGGCAGAAGGGGCACACACACTCAGCCGTGCCTTCACTGTGGCTTCAGATCTCTAAAAAAACCACTGTCACCCCTTTGTCCCTCCATCCGCAACAGGGTGGGCGTGGGGCCAGGAGTGGCCCTGTCCAAGCCCAGGCGCCTTGTGGCACCACCTTACCGTCTTTCGGGAGGACAGCCACGCGGTTGGTGAGCTTCAGAGTCTCACAAATGTCCATGAACTTTTTCATACTCAGGAAGCTGGACGTGCTCTGTCTGCCTGCGGTGCGGAGCAGGCACAACGTCAGAGTCTCCAGTTCCGCCACGTGAGGCTGCACCCCAACCCCCACCACCCCCCCAGCCCCAAAACGCCCCTGAGGTTTCAGGACAGAGACAAGGGGGCGCTCAGTGGAAGATGGAGACTGGTGGGCAGCAGGAGGCGCCTCTGTTCCGAGCCAGCAGGAGGCAGGTCCCCAGAGAGGCTCAGGAGGTGGGGTCCCCACGCAGGGTCCCCACGCAGGGCCCCCTCTGCTCTCCCAGGCCCCTCTGCCACCCCTTCCCAGCCGCATCCATCTGACTGAGGATCCCCGGGACCTCCTCCCACCCTCTCCAATAGGGCTGCTCGGTGCCCCAGGCCCCAGCCCCCATGCCTGGAAGTGGGTTCCTGCCCCTCCATCCCACCTGTTCATCCGGGGCAGAACCTCCTCCTGGTTCATCACTGCCAGCCCCTCATCCTGCCATCAGCCTGGGGACCTCTGCATCCATGTGGACAGCCCGCCCCACTCCAGCCTCTGGCTTTCCGACCTCCCCGCTGCAGGGGCCTCCCCCACTCAGCCCTGGGGGCCACCACCCAGAGCTGCCAGCGCGCAGGGTCTCCTGGACCAGAGCCCCGGGCTCTGCCGCCCACCCCAGCCTCTGCTCACACCCCGGCCAGCCCCACCCTCCGTCCTGCCAGGCCACACCCACCCCAGGCCGTGACCGACTACTGTGGACTGTGTGTTTGTGTCCCCCAAATTCACATGCTGAAGCCCCAGTGGTGGAGTGAGAGGAGGCCTTAGGAGGTGAGGGGGGTCAGCTGAGGTCACGAGCACAGGGTCCTCATGGTGGGAGTGGTGCCCTTAGGAGACGAGGCCAGAGCTCCCCCTGCCCGCGTGTGAGGACACGGCAGAGGCCTCCCTCCCGCCAGGGCCCTCACCCCCCCGTCTGCCCAGGGCCCCGGCCCCCGGGGCCCTGGCGCTGGACTCACTGAAGAGCAGCAACATCTTGGCGGTCTGTCCCGCGCGGCCCAGGCGCATGTCGACCACGCCCTCGTGGTAGTCGGTGGACAGCACGCGGAAGCCCCTCACCCCCTTCACTGGGCGGGGGAGAAGCACAGAGCTGCCGGCTTGAGCCCGGACAGCAGGGCGTCTGGAAGGACGCAAGGATGCCCCCTCCAGGCCCAGGCCCCAGGCCCTCGGGCGTCAGTCCCCACTGGCCCACATTCCCTGGGGAGGACAGCCGGGGCCAGCGCTGCCGTGGGCCACCCAGGGTCTCAGTGGCCGGGAAGCCCGTGGACAGCCGCCCCCCAGCGGTACGCACAGGTGTTCCTGAACACGGCCTTCTTCCTGTCCTTCCGCAGCATCAGCGAGTGTGCCTGGCACCCCCGCGCCCTGAGGGGAGGGGGGCTGTGAGCTCGCGGCCAGGGAGCCCTTTCCGGGCCCCGTTGTTCTGGGACTTTTCACCCTGGGCCAGCGCCGGTCCCGCAGCTCAGGGGACACGCTCCAAACACCCACTGCCCGCGGAGGCCCCGGGACGGCGGCCGCCCCTCCCAAAATCGGCCCTTGGAGACTTAGGGTGGGAAGTCGTGGGCGCGGGGGTTTCTGAGACAGTTCTTGTGGGAGCTCCAGGCTGGCTCTCCCGACTCAGCCCCCTTTCCTCTACTCCCTGGGCTCAGGGTGCAAAGGACATGCTGGCCCCCACCCTCGCCCACTCACCCGTTAAAGGCGAGGACCACCTTCAGCTGGCCTGTTGTGTGAACCTTCACCACAGATGCCCCCAGCTTCCTCTTGTCTCTGCCCAGCAAGAGACCTCGGGCGTCGGAAGCAATGGCAAGGATGTACCAGAACCCCGAAAACTGCAGAGAGGGTGCTGGGGGGCAGGCTGCCGCACTGGTTCTGCCCCCACCCTAGGTCCCCGAGAACCCACAGGACCAGTGTCCCTCGCTGAGGCCCAGCCCACATCCAGCACTCACGGGCTGGCTCGGCCCGGCCTCGGGGCCCCCAGGGTCACCCCAGGCAATGGGGGCAGATGTGCAGCTGGTCTGGGATCTGGGGCGTCCCTGGGCTGGGCCGTGGGCACCGTGTGCGGAGCTTCCTGCCTGCATGGGCCTGGTGGGGTCCCGTCCCTCCCAGCTGGCCCCGCACCATCCTCCCGGCTCCTCTGGCAGCAAACCCGGGCTCCCTGCCCACCACGTCTACTCTGCCTGTGCCCATGGCCGCCCCCTCCGGAACCTTCACCCGGCCGGCGACCTCATTGTTCCAGAACATGCCCTGCTGCCTGTCTCCCCTCTGCCCACCAGGCACCTCGGGAGACCTCAGGCCCCTGTCTGGCCCCTCCTCAGAGCTCCTGGCCCTAATGGTCCATGGCTGGCAGTTGAGTTTGAAGCCCCAGCCTGTCCCCAGAGGAGGCCGCCGGAGGTCAGGGAGAGGCCAGGTGGGCAGCCCCGCCAGGCCAGCCGAAGCCAGTACCCGAGCCTCCTGCCAGCCTGCCCAGCCCGGGGCCCTGCCCACAGACTCCAGCGGCTCTTTCCGGATGATGCCCGCCCTGCCCCAGCGAGGGGACGCGGGGCGGGGGGGCACGAGGCTCACCTTGCTCCAGTTGAGACTGTGGGACTCCCTGGGGAGCAGCTCCTGCTCCTGGGACCCCACAGCCAGCACCAGCGCCAGGACCGGCACAGGCAGCAGCCGCATCGTCGCCCCCTCCCTCAGCCACCCGCCTGGATGTCCAGGGGCAGCCAGGCAACCTGCGACCTCACACCAGCCTAGTGGGCCAAGCCGGGGCGGGGACGGGGGAGGGCCCTCGGAGCCGCACAGCCGCCATTGGGCGCTACCGGCCTGGGACGGCCGAAGGGGGAGGCTATGATGTTCCCGGGTCACCCCCCTGGGCCTCGGGTCACCGCGTGTCCCCTGAGCTAATGCACCAGGCTGGGAGGCTCCTGGGCACCTCCACCCCGGGGGCTCCCTTCACGGGAAGATGCGCTCACAGAAAGCACGGCCTCTGAGAAGTCGGGGCTCAGCCGCTGCTGGAGCTGACACCAGGGCTGCCTTCCCGATGCCCTTGGCAGGTACTGACGCGCCTGTGTGCACGTGTGCGTGCGTGTGAGGCACCCCGTGTGCACCCCGCCTCACCACAAGCGACGGCAGCCCCCCAGCTCCCAGCCTGCCTCCCCCGAAGGCCCATGCTCCTGCCAGGACTTGAGGCACAGCCCCTCCAGAACACAGGAGGACAGACGGGCTCAGGCCTTCTGGGGTCTGTTGCCCCCTGCCCCTGCCCCAGAGCCCCAGGCCAGGAAAAGCCAAGCCTCCACGCCCCAGGCACCCCAGCAAGCACCCCCTGGGCACCGATGCAAGTTTCCTCAGCCCAGCGCCCTGCCCACACCTCAGCAGGACCATGGGCAGACCAGCCCCCCGTCTGCCCGGGGCCCACAGTCACCCCTGCAGAAGGAGCAGCCGCCTCCAGCCCAGCCCCCACCTCCAGACCAGGGCCTGGGTCCAGGCCCTCCCAGCCCCGAGGGACTCGGCGAGGACGGCTGCAGGCCAGCGCTCTAGTCCCAGAGCCGCTCTGTGCCCTGCAGTTTGGCCCTGGAGAGCCCACCCCACCCTCCTCTCCCTGCGGCAACCAGGGCCCCGAGAAGGCCACTCCACGACAGCTCTTCTGATGGCTGGGACACAGACCAGAGGCACCAGCGTGGATTGTGGAACCACTTTATTTGAATCGGCAGAGAGTGCCCCTAGGAGCAGCCAGCCCGACACCCTGCACCCGGGCAGCTGAGCGTGGAGAACAGGGTCTGGCCACCTCCACCGGACGTGGTGGGCACCGTCCCCAGGGACCACGGCATTCACTGAAAACCAAGAAGAGCACAGGGGACCCTGAAAGCCATCAGCTGCCCCAGCCCCCAGCCTGCATGGCAGCAGGGCCGCTGGAAAGAAGGGGCCCCCAGAGACCCAGGCCCCTCCCCGACCCAGGAGCCGGGGGTGCTCGGGAGGGCAGCTCACCTGGAAGGCCTTGAGTGCACAGGTGACTGCAGGGGAAGCGAGATGGCTGTGAGTACTGGGCATCTCCCTGCCCAGCCGGGCGCCCAGGACAGCGAGCAGCCACTGACCACCCGGAGCCCCACCTGAGACGGGGACCGGCCCCGCGAGCCCGACTTTGGGCAGGGAGGAGGTGACTCCTTGAAGACCCCCGCCTGGCTCCCTGAGGCCCGGAGGGTCCCCAGGTCCAGCAGAACCTGGCGAGTGGCCCCACGCTCCATCCCCCAGCATGAGGCGACACTCACGGTCCCTCTGTAGCGTGGCCTGCTGCTGAGACAAGAAGCCCAAGCCTTTGCTCCACTTGGTGAAGAGGCTCATGGCCTCCTGGCTGGCCAGCTCTGTCCGGCCTGCGGGCAAGACGCCCTCCTGAGACCTGGGCCTGGGGCTGGGGAGGACGGGTCTGCAGCAGGACTCGGACGGACAGGGACCCTGCACTCCTCTGACCCCAAGGCCTCTGACCGCGTGCAGCCCTCCCCCAGCCCTGGACTACATCTCTCCCTCCACGCGGGGTCCTGCTCAGGGATGAGGCCAGTGGGAGTGAGGAGCAAAGCGTGGCTACCATCTCATGTCGCCCAGGGCGGGCAGGGGACCGGTGCAGCCAGCGGACCTTCAGGAGCCCCCAGCGAGGCTGCGGCTGGCGGGCAGACTGCCCGGGGCGTCCCAGCCCCACTCACTGTACAGCTCCACGGTGCCAAAGGCCTCGTCCGCCAGCTCCAGCTGTGTGAACACCACGGCATAGTCTCTGAAGTTGGTGCCCAGAACCCGGTACTCCAGCACGCCCAGGGCTAGGAAGGAGGTGCCCCGAGGGAAGGGCCTCAGACCCAGCGGGAGGCCCCTCCCAGCAGGCAAGGGCCCCAAGCCCTGGCCCCCTGGTCCCTGGACCCCCCCAGGTGCCAGCACACAGAGCCTCACAGTGGTTGATGGATGGCGTTGATGGATGGCAGGTGAGTCCCAGCTCGTGTCAGCTCACACTCCCTCACCCTGTCCCCCTGGGGCCAGAGCACTACAGAGGGAAGCCTGGGGTCCCGGCTGAATATGCCAGGTGCGGCTGTCCTCTGACCTCAGGGTTGACACCAAGCCTCTGACAAAACTAGGTCCTTCCGCTTCCCGGGGGAGAGCTGCACTGAAGCCCGGGGACGGAGTCGCCCCGCCCCTTCCCGAGCCGCTGGCCCTGCCCGTAGAGGGCGGGGGTGCTGCCCGGACAGAGGGCCCGGGGGGCTGGCGGCAGAACCCCGGTCCCGAGGACAGCCGGGGAACTGCAGCCGTCCCTGCGCTGCCCAGAGGGGCCTCGGCGGCCGTCGGTCTTACAGGGGTTCCCGAACACCCATCTGGAATTTTGCTTCAGCAGTTCCACGGTGTGCAGGTGGCACCTCTCCAGCCTGGAACAGAAGGGGATCCTCCGTCCCCCAGCGTCCGGGCGCAGGACGAGAGGAGGCAGGTTCTGCCGCCCTGAACTGGCCGGCGGCCACCGTGTTCACAGAGGGGATTCGGCCTCTGTCTTGGTGGCCCCAGTTCCCGGAAGCCCTGCTCTCCACCAAAGCGAGCCGTCAGGGAAGCGGGCCGGCCCGGGGCCGGCAAAGTGCAAAGTTGCTCCCTCGCCTCCGAGAGCCCGGGTCCTCCAGCCCCGCGTGAAGACGACTCAGAAGCCCCCGGGCGCCAGACAAACAAGGGCGTCTGCAGTTTTGGATAGAGGGACGCAGCAGCCAGTAGGGGCCCATGGCCCTGAGCCGTCAGCCCTGAGAATGAGCAGACCTGCTTTTGCCGGAGCAGCAGGACCCGGTCACCGCAGCGCTCCGGGGAAGACACGGGAATAACCAGGAAAGGCGTGAACGCAAGGGCCGCCAGCAAGCGGGAGCTGTAACCCAGCAGCACCCGGAGCTGTGAGACCCGGGACCGGCGAACAGAGACAGACGGAAGGGACGGGACGGACGGCCCAGAGACGCAGCCAAGCACAGAGGAGGCTGGTGCGTGAGGACGAGAGCGTCTCAGGTGAGTGGAGCAGACGCGGGCTGCGGGCTGCGGGCTGCGGGCTGCGGGGTGCCGGGCGGCTGGGCCGTCCTCTCGGGAACAGCAGTCACGCCCCACGTCTCCCCACGGCACAGCCGGTGCACCAGGGAGGTGCGTGGCCTCTTGGCACAAGAGGCGGAAAGGCTGCCTGACTCACCACGCACAAAACCCAGAAGCCCTAAAAAAGCAAGCCTGGTTTACCTCAAAGATAAAAAAAAGTTCTCACCCAAAACTCCTTGACGGTCTGAGAAAAGCGACAAACAGGGAAATCTATCTGCAACTACCTTTTACCGCAGGCAGTGGCCAAAATCCCTAACACTTAAGGGTTCTTACAAGTCAGTAAAAACCCACCCGAGGGAAAACATGCCAAGGGTATGAACGGACAGTGGGTTAAAGGAAACACAAAGGCTGAAAAGCGGGTTCCCCCAACCCCAAGTCCTCACGGTTAGAGAGGTGGTAAAAACGAACACGGCCAGGAACACAGGGACCAGACGCCCCGGGCTGGCACCAGCTCAGGGGACCGGCCTCGCACGACACGGAGCAAAGCTTCCAGGAGGACGGGCGCACTTTGACTCCCGGGGCTTCACCCTCTGAGGCCAGCTCACAGGACCCCCTCCCCAAAGTGCGTTTCCAGCTGCAGAAGCCTGGAGACCCCTGGCAGCCGCCCGCAGAGCACGGGACCGAGAATTACACGGCCGTAAAAAGGAACGGAGTTCCTCCCAAAATGTCATAGTCACCACATGGCCCAGCAATCTGCTCCTGGGTGTGTCCCCCAGAAACTGACAGCAGCGTCCCGAAGAGATGTGTGTTCACTGCAGCCCGAGCCGGAAGCAGCCCAAGTGCCCATCGACGGATGGCGGCATAAACAAGTGCGGTCCATCCGCACGCTGGAACATTACTCATTCTTAAAAAGGGAGGAAATCCCACCACAGGCGGCAGCGTGGTTGAAGGACACGAGGACATTATGTGAGTGAAACAGGACAGTCACAAAAGGACAACTATCGTGTGATTCCACTCACACGAGGTGCAGGGGAGTCAAACTGCAGAGAAAGAAAGTAGGTGGTGGGGCCGGGGGCCGGGGGCAGGGAGGGGGCGGGGGGGAGTGTCTGATGGGGACAGAGGTTCTGTTTGGGAAGATGAGAAAGTTCTGGAGATGGATGGTGGGGGTGGTTGCTCAACAGCACGAATGAGCTGAGTGCCACTGAGCCGTGCACTTAAAAGTGGTTAAGATGGTAGATCCTAACGTTTATTCTACTACAATTTGTAAAACATCAGCAAAGACAAAAGAGAATACAATGCTAAAAGTTCCAGAAGAGGGCAGGGACCCGGGGGCTGACAGGGAAGTGCTGGCCACAGCGTCAGACCACGCGTGTGCTCACGTGAGGCCGCCCCACCCCCACAGCACAGCGCCCTCGCCGCCGCCGCCGCCTGCCTGCTCCCGCCCGCCCCGCTCCCTCCAGCCGGGCGCGTGATCCGCTCCATGGGTCAGAGTCAACCGAGGCTCAGCCTGATGCCACGAGCCCAACCAGACAAGCGGCCTCAGTGACCGCACCCCCAGGGGATCCCATTTCCCAGAGAACCAGTGGCTCTTGGGCACAGATGCACGGCCCACTTTACCTGGGGTTCAGCAGGGCCTTGCACAAAGAAGAGACCCCTCCAACCAGCCGATCGGGGGCCCGGAGCAGCAGGCAGGGCGGTCAGAGGCTGCGCCTGGCCCCAGGCGAGAAGGCCTGAGTCCCACCCGGGCGCCCAGGCCAGGAGTCCGGGGATGCAGGCCCGAGAGGCCAGGCAGAGGGTGGGGCTCAGAGCAGAGCTCAGCGAGGAGGGAGGGAAGGGCGGGGACGGGGGATCGGGAGGGTGTCTCCCCACCTGTGCCGGGAGGCCAGCATCTTCAGGTTGTTTTCAGGAGTGAGGGTCACCACGACCCCCTCAATGTTCTTCGTGGCCTTCTCCACCGCAAAGTCCCTTTCCCCCGAGGCCACGGCGACCACGTACCAGGACCCCAGAAGCTGATGGAGGAGGAGGGGGTAAGGCAGGCTGGTCCCTCCCACCCCTGGGCCATCCTCTGGGTCCGGGAGCCCAGGGCCCGGCAGCCCGTGTGGTCTGAGCTGGCACCATGGGGGCCCAGGAGCCATGTGGCCCCAAGGAGTCCGGGCCACTAAGACCAACATGGCCCCAGACGTGTGTGGCATGAGAGGGCTGTTACCTGCTGAGGGTCCAGCCTCCCCAGCCACAATGCCTGGGCCCTGGGCACAGAGACCAGAGCCAGAAGGGCAGTCAGCAGCACACCCGCCATCCTCCCAGGGGTCCACGCAGCAGCGCACACACCTGGGGCCCGGCCGGCTAAGAGGTCACTCCAGCCCCTGGAAGCCTGTTTATATTGGCTCTGACGCCCTGCTGTGGGCGGCCACCAACCACCGGGACGCCATCGTGGCCTCACTTCTCATAAGGTGGCGACATTACCTGAGGCGGGGCGGAGTTCACCCTCAGGTGCTGGAGAGTGGGGGGGCGGGCCCTGGGGAGGGGGTGCCGAGCCCCTTCTACATCCCTACTCCATGCCTTCCCTTGCTGGAGCAAGGGTATGCTTGCTCCACCCTTCCCTCCACCTGGAGCAAGCATACTGCTCGGAGCCGCACCATCTCCTCTGCCCCCCCCAGCGGAGACCCTGCTCCCCATGGGCGGCAGCCGGCCAAGGTCAAGTCTGAGGAGAGGCAGAGAACAAGCAGTTCTTCCAGAAGCCACAGTTTTGCACATCTTTTGTTTTAATCATTCGAGTACCAAAAGTGACCCCGCAAATTGTCTGAGCGCTCCCACCCCCTCCCACCCACTCTTCTGCTCGGCTGGCCGTGGCCTCCGGCCCCCACCGCAGCCGGCACCGGCCCGGAATGCCCTGTTCTTTCCGCCCGCTGCCCCACCCCCGGACCCACTCACTCTCCGGGCAGCCTCACCCTGCTGCCCCCACCTCGGCTGGCGGGGCCCTGGCCACATCCTCAGGGCCGCCTGGAGCGGAGGACAGAGGGCGGGGCAGGATCTGCGCAAGGCCCAGAAACCCCAAGGGAAGCCGCCGGCAGGCTCCTCCTGGGGGTGGGCGACTCCGCAAACCACACCTCCCAGCCCTGCTGGTCGGCCCCCCGGAGCTCTGGCAGGGCTTGGAGGCGAGGAAGGGGGCAGACGCTGGTCCTGCCAGGCCTGGCTCCCCAGGAGGGACCTCCGACAAGCAGCACCCCGCGCTGCTGAGGAGGTGAGCCGCGCGGGAAAGGTGACAAAAGCGGGCTCGCAAGCCACAGACTTGCTGCGAAGCCTTCCGCTGCCTCGCGCCCAAGAGCCGCAGCCTGAGCTCGGGCTAGGACGGTCCCTGGTGGGAAGGGACAGTGAAAGGAAAGCATGGCCCAGTAGTCACGTGAGCCTTTCCCACTGTTTTTGTGAGTTCAGTTTCCCGAGGAAGAACACTTGGGAGACAAAGACAAGGCGAGCGAGAAGCAGCAGAAAGGACGGATGCTGGAAGCGGACCCGCCGAGGCTTCCCGCGCTACAGCCAGGCAGGCTGCCGGCCCGCGGGAATCGCGCAACAAAAACCCACAGACTGTGGCGTATACACAACGGACATTTACTTCTCATAGTCCTGGACGCTGGACGCGCAAGAGCAGGGAGCCAGCCTGGCCACGTGAGGGTCTTCTGGGTCGAGACTCCTTGCTGTGTCCTCGCGTGGGGGAGGGGGGGGAGCTCCAGGGTTGCTTTTATAAGGGGCCTCAGGACTGCATCTCCTCCCCGAGGCCCCACCTCCCAACCCATCGCATCAGGGGTTGGGATGTCAGCTCATGACGTTGGCGGGGGCGTGGTGGGGGGACACAGACATTGAGACCACAGGATAGACGGTGAGCACAGCTAGGATCACTCTGCTTAACCAGGTGAGACCCACGTCTGAAATTGTACTGTAGTTTCATAACACACTCTAAAGTATAAAAACTATAAAAAGCAGTGTAGGGGAGGGTCTAGCTCAGTGGTGGAGTGCGTGCCTCGCATGCACAAGGTCCTGGGTTCCACCCCAGTACCTCTGTTTAAAAAAATAGACGAATAAATGAAGCTGAAATTACCCCCCTTCATTAACAAACAAGGAAAAAATAAAGTTAAAAAGGAAACAAACAAAAAGGTGGTGTAGATAAAGGACATCTGCGTGACCTAAGGTAGTGACCATTATTAAAGCAAAATCTCTGCACAATCTTCCAAAAAGGGAAAAAGCGACCACACAAACCATGAAGAATAGAAACCTCACATTTTCTGCAAAAACACCAAAGGCCACCAGAGGTCGCTCTCAAGCCTCCGTCTCGAGACTCCACGGACAATTGCGAAGGGAGACGGAACCCGCAGGGGCGAGGGGAGGCGGGCGAGCCCCAAAGGCTGAGCTGAAACAGACCCCGGAGGAAAGTTGCTCTGACCGCAGAACTGCCACAAGGACAGGGATGGACGGGGCGCGGGCGGCAGGACGGGGCGCGGGCGGCAGGACGGGGTGCGGCCGGCAGCCTGGGGGAGGCAGCACTTCCGGGAGAGGGGAGCCTTGGCAAGCGCCCGGGGGCCTTTCCAGCCTGCGGAGAGGGAGTTTAAAACCCCCTATGAACGTGGGGTCCGTCAAGGCAGAGCGGAGCAAACTTCACACACCAGCGGCCAAAAATGCCACCCACTGAGGAGCATTTTCTGCACTCCGCTTAGTGGATGCGCAAGGACTGGGATCTTGTTAGGAGCCGTAAGTGCCAGCCGCGCCTGGGACACGAACAGGCTTAAGCAGTCTTACACTTGGCTGCTAGAAGAAGAAACCAGAATAAGAGTAAAAACAGCCATCGGTCGGAAATCCCACCGTGGGGAGGACGGAGAGGCGTGGAAAACAAGAAAACTGAATTAAATAGGCTACAGGTTTGAAGGGCATTAAAAGAACGTCTTGAAAGAAGTTTTTTTTAAGAACTAAGCAGAAGTGAGCAAAAAGAGGGGAAAGTTGAGTAAGAGCTGATTGGGCTCAGGAAACAAATTGAATTTTGGAATTCACTGAAAAAGAAAAATTCTTCCGAGTTCCCAGGCAAAATGATCAGGTTTCCAGACGCTCACTGCTGGATGTAAAGCAGATAAACAACGAGGGCCTCCGGAGAGCACAGGGAACTACACTCAGTATCTCGTAATAAACTGTAATGAAAAAGAACATGGAAAAGTATGCCTGTGTGTAACTGAATCACGTGGCTGTACACCAGAAATTAACACAACATTGTCAATCAACTATACTTCAGTTTAAAAATTTACAAAAAGAAAAAAAATCAAGTTTCTTTCAAGGGTGAGAGAAATAAACTGAGTCAAACTTTCAAGAGCAAAATACGAGGCAAAGCCAGCAGAGATCGCTAACAGCAGCGGAAGTGCGCCCGCCGCTCTCAGCAAGGCCGGGCTAACGCCCCCTGCAGGCGAGGACAAAGAAGGCCTGAGAAGCCAGAAGGCGGGGGAGGGTACAGCTCAGCGGCAGAGCGCGCGCTTAGCCTGCCCAAGGTCCTCAGTTCGATCCCCAGTACCTCCATAAAAAATAAAATAAAAATTAATTTTAAAATGCGTAAGAGAAACCTAATTACTTCCCCCACCAAAAAAGAAAAAAAAGCCACAAGGCAGATCTTGAGGGTTTACAATTGTATTGTACACCTTGACAGCAGGCAGTGACACGTGCACAAAATGCATTGGCCACAAAGAAGCGTCAGTAAACTCCATGAAGTAGAAGGTACTACAAACAGCCTCCTTTGACCCAAATACAGCAAAGTTCGGGTTTTTTTAATGTCTATTTTATGTTTTAAAAAATACTCTTGGATGAAAGGAAAAATACAAACTGAAGTGACAGAATCCCTTTAAAATAAACACAGCAGAGGGGAGAGTCTATGGCTCAGGGGTAGAGTGGGTGCCCAAGGTCCTGGGTTCAATCCCTGGTACCTCCATCAAAATAAATAAGTAAATAAAAACCTAATTACCTCCCCAAAAACAAAATTAAAAATAAATAAAATAAAAGAAACATAATAAAAACACCATACACAATGGGACCAGGGACCGTCACCGCCTTAAACGCTCCCACCACTAGAAATGGAAGAATGAACATAAATGCCTTAAATTCCCCACTCAAGCAGCCAGACAGGGAGCAACGAAGTAAAACACAGGAAATCAGGAGGGAGGCGGTAAAAGTGGGAAGTAACAGAACGGAGGACAGCAGGCGTCATCAGTGAACCAAGGGCCTCGCCCTTGGGAACACTGATGGAATTTTTCTGTTAATTTACAGAATTATTAACAGAACCGTTACTGTTATTTTAAAGAATAAAAGAATTAACTAACAAATAAGGAAACACTGAGGAGACCACAGATCCGTGAAGTAAGAAATGGCAAAAGGGAGGGAAATGACCTCTGGGACAGAAGGGAAAAAAAGTTTCATCAACAGAAGGTACCTGGCTGACCTCTGAGCAGATAACTTTGAAGTCCTGAATGAACTGGGTAATTTTACAGGGAAATTCAGTTTGCCAAAATTTACCCTATTAGACCGATAGGTAGGAAGGGAGAGAGAGAGAGTGGATGCGCAAATAAGTAGTTGGGTGAATTGGTTATCTGGAGTCAGGGCCTAAAAGAGGAGCCAAGCTTAGGCGAGGTCAGGAGGCCGGGTCTGGGCCGGGGGCTCCGGCGCCCGCGGACGAGGAAGGATGTCTGTGCGCAGAGAAGACGCAGCAGGGGGGGGCCGCCGTCCACAAGCCGGGAGGAGAAACCCCGCCGGAAACCCTGACCTGTAGCCTCCAGAAACGTGGCAACATTAACTGGCTTGGGTTTATTTTGCAGGCTGTTTTGCAGCGCCCTGAGCAGGCTTCCCAGGGCCTTCCCTCGGGGAGCCCAGCTGAGGGAGGTAGCCTCAGCAGGACGGACCTGGGGGAAGTTCCAGGTGTCCCCCAAACACCTCTGATGTGTCAGAAGTCACCCTCCAAACGTCTCTCCTGTGGGTCTTTGGGGACTCGGTTCAGGATTTGCTCAGGCGAGTCCCGGGCAGGCGCTCCCCTCGGGGCCGGTCCTTCCTTCTGCAGGCCTTTCTGACGGCTGGCAGGGTGCCTGAGGGTCCCAGTCCCCCAGCTTGCACACGGGTAGGGGGCTGTGCTCAGAACCTCGGTGCTGACCCCCACGTTGTCTGCCCTGACCCAGACACCCTTTCTGCCCTCCAGTCCCAGCCAATGGAAGAAAACAGAGTGAGCATACAGCCACAGTGCAGGTCAGGGGTGAGAGAGTGCAGGGTGGGCCTAGATGCTCAGTAGGGCTGGGATGACCAGCAGGGGGCGGGAGGGGCGGCCACGGCCCAGGGCCTTGGGCCCGATGCCCGTGGGTTTGAGTCTGGGGCAACAGGAAGCCACAGGAGAAGGCAGACAGGCTCCAGTGTGGCCACTTTCACTGGCAGGACCTCTGCTCCAGGCACCCCAGCCTGGGGCTGCCTGGAAAGAGACTAGGGTGAGGATGATGGGGGGGTCCCCGAGTTGGGCAGCCTGGCCCACAGGCTTTCAGAAGGGCAGGGCCAGGTGGAAAGGGAAGGGAGCCAGCCTGGACTGGGACCCACACCACCCAAGAGTCAGGCTGGGTGCCATTTCTAGGCCGATCACAGAAAACACGCCCCACCACCCCCACCCGGCACTCTTTGCGCTCCCCAGGAAAGACGCGGGGCCAGGGGGTAGGCAGTCGGCTTTATTCAGAGCAGGTGCAGGCGGCCCCCCAGGGCAGGGCCGCCAGGGGAGGCTGGGTGGGCGGGGCTCCGAGCATCCTGGCTGGGGCGGGGCTTCTCTAGATCAGCTCCTGGACACAGAAGGGCGGGGCCTCAGGGCACCACGTGGCCCCCAAGCCCCCCACCACCAAGAGGCAGCGGCTGGGGCTGCAGCCAGGAGTGGGTGTCCCAGCTGCGCAGCAAAGCAGGATAACAGCCCCAACCCCTCGGGACCATTGAGACAGAGGGGGTCCTCCAGCTGGTGGGCTAGGCTAGCACAGTGAGGGGCCCAGGGAGCCTGAGACGATGCCCACAGTGCCCTGCTGGACGGAAGCAGGGGACAAGGGCCAGCCTCCTTCCTCCCCGCCCAGCCCTGCCCTCACGCCCCAGCTGCCAGGGTCCCCTCCTGGCCGCCTGTCACCAGCCTGGAGGCCCAGGATCTAGAGCGAGCCAGGGCCCTCATCAGGCGGGGGGGACTCAGGCCGAGGGCTCAGCGCAGACCTGGGCACAGGCTCACCTCCTTCAGGAGCTTGGCACACCTCCCTGCGGGACAGGACAGCGTGAGAGGCTGTGGGGTGGGTGCCTGGGCCCCACCAGTGGGGGTCCCTAGCCCAGTGACCACCCCAGGCCCGGGACTTACCGTACCGGGCCACCAGGTACAGCCCCGTGTCTGCTGTCAGCTCCCGGAACCTCCAGAAGCCTGGTTCATACTCGCCCTCAAGGCTCCGAGCTGTGGGGGGCACAGGCGCCTGAGCCAGGTGGTCCCCAGGAGGGCAGCAGCAGCCCAGCCCCCCACCCCAGGGGGAGCTTACTGAAATACTTCAGCACGTGGAATTCTTTGCCCTGCCAGGGAAGGGACACCCTCAGGATGGCGTACTGCTCGTAGTCTGTGTCTATGACGTGGATCTCCCTGTGGCCTGGGGGAGGAAGCGGGAGGGACAGACATGGGCAGACGGGCCCCTTCTCGGGCTTGGCAGACCTTGGAGGCCAGGGTCTGCAGGGCCTGACCCCACACTCTCGCCACCCCGAGCCCAGCCCCTCCTGTGATGCCAGGGTGGAGGAAGGAGGACTAGAGCAGCCCCAGAAGGCTGCCCCTGAGCTGGGGAGATGGGTGTCTGGGGCACGAGGAGGCACGCAGGGGGCAGCGCAGGGAGCGGCGAGGCCGTGTGCAGGGCCAGAGGGCAGTAACCGCAACCAGGAAACGGCTCTTACCAGGGAAAACAAATTTCCCCGAAACGTCTATTTCTGAGCTCACTATTTCTTCAGTCTCACAGCTTCCTGAGCTGGAAGGCAGGAGAAGGGCTCATTAGGAAAACGCCAGCCTGCGTCCCTTCTGCCGGGCGCACTCCCGGCGGTGGCGGGAGGGGGACCGTGTCTTCGGGAAGGGCTCTGGCAGCGTGTCGGTCCCCAGGAGAGCCTGGAGCAGGATGAGGAGGGCAGAGGTACAGGCTGGGACCATGCCTGCCTCTCGCCCAAGGGCTCCGTGACCTCCAGAGAGCCAGCTACCGCTAAGTCCTCTTTCCTTTCTTGTAAACTGACGGGGTTTCATCAAGACTGTTCTTTCTCTGGGAGAAGATGGAGGTGGAGGAGCAGACCTACAGCTGGCAGCTCTGGGAGCCTGGGGGTCTGGAGCACCATCTACAACAATGACCACATTCACAGCTGCTCCGGGAACCGGCCGCACGTGCCTGCCCGCCCCCCACTCCACCCCCACGGAGCCCCCAGGAACCTCCGGCTGCTTACCTGTTATATGCAACCTTTACAGTCAGCTCCTCCCCACTCAAGGTCAGGAACAAGGCCTCCAGCCTCTTGGGGGTCTTCAGTGCCAGGTTTTGGCTGGAGGCCACACCGACTTCCCGCCAGAATCCTGCAATCTAAAGAAAGAAGCCGGAGCCAAGCCCATCTCAGGCAGCCGGACAAAGACCCAATCCCTGGGCCTCAAAGAGGCAGACCCTCCCCTGGCCCTAGACCCCCCAGGCCGGGAGCTGGCAGGTTCTGAAAGGTCAGTGGACGGCCGCAAGGCTCGGTAGCAAACAGCAAGTTGTCGGCCTTCGGAGGGGCCCCTCCTGGCCGTCAGACAGCTGGGCCGATGGGGCGCGCCCCTCCCTGAGCAGCCCTGTCTGCAGCTGCCACGGGGCCGGCCCCAGTCCCCAAGCAGACCCAGCCCCTGCTGCTGCCGGGCCTTGGGGACAGGACTGCAGCCGCATTGGTGTTGGGAGCCTGAGAGAGGGCAGCAGGAGAGGGCCAGCCGAACGTGAAACGCGCCCAGGAGCAGCGGCCAGCAGCCCCGCCCCCAGGGAGGAGGCCCCGCTCTGCCCCGGTCACATGCGGATGGGGCTCCTGCCTCCAAAAACTGACCCCCGACAGAGCCCAGCACATCCATCCGAATTTTTTGGAAACCGATCATTTTTGCAAAAGAAACGAACCCGTGTCCCAACACCCATCGCCTCTGAGGCTGCCGACGTGTCCGGGCCTAGTAGCTGGCAGACCCAGCAAAGAAGCAACTGGGTGGAAACCAAAGCCCCCAGCCAAGGGCTCCACACCTGGAAAGCCTCCAGTTCCCACGGCGTGCGGGGTCGGAGGGCGCAGGAGGGTCCCACCCACCCGGGAGCAGGAGGTGGCCGTGCTGAGCCCCACACCCTGGAGACCCTGCAGGACCCGCTGGCCTGGCCAAGGATGTAAGCCTGCCCCCAGGAGGCCCTGAAGAGGGTGCTGCCCCTGCCCATCCTTGGGCACTCGCCTCACACCCACTCACCAGGAGAGGAGACCCCCGGCAGGGCTGAGCTCAGAGCCTCAACCACCTGCCCTTGCGGGGCTGCCCTGGGTGGGGCCTGGGGCCCCAGCGTAGCTACCCCGGCATCCCTGGGAGTGGGGGAGACAGGGCACCGGAGCAGCTGGACGCTTGGGCCCCTCCCTGCCCATCCTCTCCAAGCCAAGAAAGACAAGCCACCTTCTGCAGGTCCAGGTCCTGCGTGGTCATCTCCACCTGCACCAGGGTGACGGCCAGGACGGCGCTCAGCAGCCTGGTCTCCATGAAGGGTCTGTGCTCCGGGCTCCTGTGCCCTCCCAGGTCTCTGGGGTTATATCGGGAGGGAGAGTTGGCGTGTTGCACAATGCCCTGAGAGTGTCCTCGGCAAACTTGGCCTCCGACCACACAGGGGGCGAGCATCCTGGCCCCGGATACCCACAGCCTCGGAGTGGGGGGTGGGGTCTGGACCAGAGCAGCCTGCATCACCACCTTCCTGGCCTGGGGACAATGGTGGACAGTTCAGCCTAAGAGCAGGACCAGGCCGCCCACACCCACACGGCTGCACAGGACCACATCTCCAACCCTAGGAGGGGCTGCAGAACTTGGGTGAGAAAGGATGTTCCTTGCAGAGGGAGCACAGTGGCCTGGTGGGAGGGCAGGGCCCACAGGAGACGGCGGTAGGGTCGAGCCAGTCCTCTGCAGGCACCAGGGGACTGCCAGCTGTTCTGTCTCCTTCCTGCACCTGCGTCCTCTCCCACTGTGATGGTAGCCACCCTCCCCGTGCCAAGCCCCACAGTGCACAGTGAGATGAGGCCCACAGCCCAGAAGGCCCTGCCTTGCTCGCGCTCCAGGGGCAGGGGGCCGCCAGCTTCCCCTCTTCCCATCCGGGCCCCAGACCCCAACCCCTACCGAGCTTTTGATCCCAGACTCAGACCAGAGGATGAGCAGGTTGAGGTGAAGTTGGAGTCAGTTTTCCTGGGCACAAGCCCCGGCCCTTCTACAGCGTAGCCCAGGCGAGCTGCCCTGCCTCAGCTTCCCCGTCGCTCATGGTCATGAGGCAGACTGGCAGGTGCCAGGTGGCCAAGAGGGGCCTAAGGCAACTCCTACCCAGATCAGCATCCCTGGTCCTTGGCCGGCAGGGGGCAGCCTTCCACCTTCAAGGCCAGAAAAGCCCACCCTGCAATGGCTCCATGCTTGGTCAGCTAAAGGGGACTGGCCACCTTGATCTGGATGTAAGACTGCCTTCCAACAAAGGCCATCAGGTTGGGGTCAAGCGAGGACAGGGAAGCCCAGAGACCAAGGGGACCATTCAAAGGGTAGGAGCAGTAGGGAGCCCCAGGGAGGCTGAGCACTGGCTGACCCCAGCCCCAATCTGACCCCAGAACCAGTCTGACCCCAGCCCCTGTCTGACCCCAGAACCAGTCTGACCCCAGCCCCTGTCTGACCCCAGCCCCGTAAGACCCCAGCCCCCATCTGACCCCAGCCCCTGACTGACCCCAGCCCCTGTCTGACCCTGGAACCAGTCTGACCCCAGCCCTGGGCTGATGGGCCAGGGCTCCCCAGGGACAGGAGAGGGAGGGCAGGAAGTGTGGGGGCACACCCCGTGTCTGGGGTGACCAGAGCCAGGATGAGGACACACAAACTCAGGGCTAGTGGCTCCCGGCTCCGGCCCTGCCAGGGCTGCAGGACATCCATGAGCGATGAAGCAGGACCTCCAGCACCTTCCTGCCCCACCCCACCCCACGCTTGGCCCTTTGAAGTATGTGCGCTGGACAGAACCTGGATGCTTTGAGGTCCACCAGGCGTGGCGCCAGGGACCAGAGGAGCCACCAGAGCAGTGGGCCCCAGGGGAGGGCTCTTCCGGCCCACACCTCATCAGGGGTCCGCACAGAGCCCAGACCCTGGAGTCTGACCCCCAGGCCTGAACCCCAGTCCAGCCCCTCACTGGGCAAGTTCAAGGTCAAGGCGACACTGGTAGTAACAGGGAAACCTCAGGAAGCCCTACCCAGCAGGGCCCCTGCCGCTCTGCCTCCGGCCCCCATGGCCGGGCTCTGTGCGCCCAGGTCTCCACGGGGCACCTCGGTTTCCTCACAGGTGCTGGGAACCCCTGGGGGCGGGGCTGATGGGCACCCGACAGTCTGCGGGTGCAGCCCTCACAGACGGCACACTCGGCGGAGGCCTCCTGCTCCCCTGGAAGCCAGAGTCCTGTCCTCAGCTCCTGAGCCTCTCACCTCAGTGTCCCCCCAGGAGCCCGGGTCAAGGCGGGGCCCACTGTGCCCCCCGAGGGCCGCTCCAAAGAGGCGGGGAGTCTCGAAACTGCAGATTCTGTTTATTGGGTAGAAGGGGGAGCCCTAAGGAGATGTCCTGTGGAGAATGGGGGTCGGGGAGGTACAGGGCCAGGAGGGTCGTGAGTCTGGACAACTCGGGAGTTGGGGCGCCAAGGCCTGCTGCTCCAGCTCAACCTGCACAGACGGGAAAGGCGTGTTCACTTCTCAGACACCCTTGCTGCAGCAGGGTGTCCCACCCCACTTACTCATCACCCAGAAGGCCAGTCCCAGCACCAGCGCTGCCCCTTCCCTGGGGTCCTGGGACCCCAAACACACTTCCCAGGGCCTCGTTCACCCCCAGCTGGTGGTGAGGGGGCTGGCATGGAGGGAAAGCCCCAGCAGAGCCACTAAACCACGACAAAGCCCACAGACTCAGCACCTGATGGGGGGCACCTGTCTCCCAAAGTTGCTTTTTCTTTTTTAAGCTAAGCCTGAGGGGTGGGGCCCAGAGCAGGAAGACAGGGCTCCCACTCTCCACAGTTAGAACCTTCCTGGGGACGACGGGACACGATCCCCGAGCCCCTCCCCTCCCACCCGTGAGGTCTCTAAAACAAGCACACAATCGGCAGGAGACAGTGCCGGGGTCCGGGCACCATCGCGGACGCCCATGAGCTGCGGCAGCCCTCGGGTCCCAGCACAGCGCAGGGCACACCCAGGCCAGCCAGGGAAGGCTGAGGGATGCCGCCTGCCGGCCACGCAGAAAGCCCCACGGAGCAAACACCCAACCAGACACACGTGACCGTCACATGGTGTCTGTTATTTATCCTTTCATGTAGGTTCCCAAGTTCTTCACGATGAACTTGGGTGATGGTTTCCAGGTGTCTACTTCGGGAAAATGTGTCCCACCCAAGAGCCCACCTGCATCCGTGTCCCAAGGGCTCCCGGGGACCCAGCCCTGTGACAGCAGCAAACAAGAAGAAGGTGGTTCCCACCTCATGGGACCCTGAGGGAGAGGATGAGCACCCAGGGATCCCCAGGCCAGGCCCCGTGCCCGGGGACACAGAATGTACAGGATTGGATGTGTCCCCAAAATTCAAGTCCACTTGGAACTCTGAATATGACCTTATTTGGAAACAGGGGTTTTGCAAAGATGTAATTAGTTAAGGATCTCGAGATGAGGTACCCCTGGATTTAGGGTGAGCCCCACACCCAATGACTGGTGTCCTTATAAGAGGGAAACCCGGCTGTGTGGCAGTGGAGGCGGAGAAGGGGGGCGCCCACAGGCCTAGGATCACCAGCACCAGAAGCTGAAGGAGGCATGGATGCTCCCCTGTGGACTCCAGAAGGAACCAGGCTGCCCACCCTTGACTTTGGACCTCTGGCCTCCAGACTGTGAGAGTAAACTTCTGCTGTGTTAAGACCCCAGTTTGTGGTCATTTGTTATGCAGCCTTAGGTAATCAGGAGAGGCTCCCTGGAAGAGGTGGTGTGCGAGGTGAGGCCTGAAGCACAAAAGTGAGTGTGCAGGCAAAACCATGGATGCTGAGGGGTGGGGATCTGCACCTGCAGACCTCGGGAGATGAGAGGGCAGGGGACGTGGTGAGAAGCAGGCCAAGAAGTGCCCTGGAGAACCAGAGGGAGGAATGACCCTGGCCCTCACCTGGGAAGAGCCAAGGTGGGTCTCCAGCAATGTCATGGTGCATCCTTGCCGCCGGGGGAGCACGCATCTGTAGAAAGATAGGTGGTCCGTGAGAGGCTGAGCTTGCCGGGACTGCCCACCGCGTCCTACCACCCCCAGCCCCCCAGAGGGTGGGGCTGAAAAATTCTCCCGCCCTGGCTGCCCAAAACCTGTCCCTTTTGTGTGTTGAGGGGAAGAGAGAGGTGTGAAGAAAAGTAGCTGGGGGGACCGCCAACCCACCCTCAGAAGAGAAAACCATCTGGTGCCTCCCCTTCCCAGAACTAGGGGCGCGGAGCTGGGGCGGGGCTTGGCAGAGGGCGGGGAAGGCGGGCGTGGCTTTGGGCAGAGGGCGGGGTGGTGGGCGGGGTGTGGCAGAGGGGTGTGGCCAGATGGGCGGGCCTTGACTGGGGTGGGGTGGGCGGGGCTTGACGGAGGGTGTGGTTGGTGCGGGGGCTTGGCAGGGTACCTGACTTGGGCAGCGTGACCCTCATGGCATCGGGGAGTCCCACGGTCAGGTAGAAGTCCTGGAAGGCCTTCATGGCCTGGGGACTCGCTTCCTGGGTCCGGCCTGGGGCGGTGCAGGGGCGCCTGTGAATCCCCGTGGCTCACAGAGGTGAGAGGGAAAAGGGACTGGGGGTCTCCCGGCCTCACTACACTTTCTTAAAGGCTGACAACAGGTCTGCCACCCGCAGTTGGGCAGGTTGAGGACTGCATGAAAGTGTCCGCCGGGCTGAGGCACCAGTGGGGGCTGGAAGCTGCCCAGTGGGGCCCCTTTTGTAATTCATGCAAGGGCATCTGGGAGGTTGGGGTGGCCCAGATGTCCTCTGGGACCATGTTTCCCGGGGCCCACCCCCTTCAAGCATCATTACCTGCAGCTCATGAAGCCAGCCTCCAGCTTTCACCCCAGCCTCTCCCCTTGGGCCAGCTCACCTGGCCAAGCCCCCCAGAAATTAAAGCAAAATAGGATCTCAGCCCCAGCTCAGGGTGTCAGACAGTAAGTCGGGCAGGGGAGGGTGGGTTCCCAGCCAGAGAGGGGTATGAGCTTTGGCCTGAGTGCCCAGCCCTCAGAGGCACCTCCCGTCAACCCCTACCCACCCAAAACACTTCGGGGTCCTGCCACCCTGTCCCAGACCTGGTCTTTGCAGGGGCCCAGACTTGGGAGTGTGTGATGAGGTGGGGCAGGGGAGGAGGTGGGGGCAGGTCCTGAAGGCGGGGCCCTAGTGGGGGGTGATAGGGGCTCCATGGGGATGGTGGGCAGCTGGGGACCCTCACTGTAGAGCTGCACCATGGTGCTGAGGGCCCCCTCCAGCTCCTTGTAGATGTAGACCACGGCGAAGGAGCTGTAGTCCGTGTCCACGATGCGCACGTCCAGGTAGCCCAAAGCTGCAGAGGAGGTGCTGGTCATGGAGAAGGACACGGGGCCAACCCTGACCCACACCAGCCTCTGCTTCAGGGAGGGAATGAGGAAGGGGTGGGGCAGGAGATGGAGGGGGTTTGTGGGAGGGTCCCGGGCAAAAGGACAGTCCTGTGTCACCCCCAGGAGAAGGGGGTGCAGGGCACATACCGGGGACTCGGAAGTGCCCTTGGGAGCCTGTCCTCAGGTACTCAGCATCCACCTGGTTACAGCCATCAGCCCTGGGGGCGCACAGCCCATGCTCACTCTCGGCCCCGCCCACCCCACCCACCCTGGCTGCGGCCACACCCACAGGGCTCACCTGGGGAACTCCATGTGGACGCTGAGGTTGCCCTCCTCTGTGGCGTTGATCTCCCTGGTGGACATCAGCAGGTGGTCCTTCTTGCCCCAGAAGACCTTGCAGTCAGAGACCATGGAGACCACATACCAGAGGCCTGAGAACTGCAGGACAGCTCGGTGACAGGCAGGCTGGACCCTCCTGGCCCCGGGACCCTGGGGCACAATGCCAGGCGGCCAGGGGGCCTCCAGAGTGTCCATCTCTTGGGTCTGAGCCCCTGTTCTGCCACTCGCCTGGGACAGGTCCCATGGCCATTGTGAGCTTCAGTTGTGCCAACTGTGAAGTGGGTCAGTAATCACAGACCAGGTTGTTTCAGGATTAAGTGCAGAGGGACTCTAAAGGGCTTCCTGGCCCCAGGCACAGAGCAAGTGCTCCGAGGAGGCAGCAGCTACTATCCCCACGTGGTCGCCGTTGTCTCCAGCAGGGACTCAGCCCACACCCCACCCACGGCACAGCACGGGGCCTCCAATACCTTTTTGGCATCAAAATCTGGCTGCAGCAGGACCTCGGCCTGAGCAGCAGACACCTGGAGCAGCGCCAGGACACAGCTCAGCAGAGCGGCCCTCATCCACATGCCCATCCTCTGGCCCACGGTCCCGAGTCCACGCGAACCCCGCCGGCCTGGCTTTATAGCGCCGCCCTCCAGCTGGGCTCAGCCACGAGCAGGCTGGGGAGCGGAAGGCACCTTGGCTCCACAAACCCCAGCGCCTCTTTGTCCATTGTTTGGCACAATCGCTCAAGTGTCTCCACAGGCCCCAGGGGTCACTTCCTGGAGGGCTCTCACCTGACTCACACTGTGCGCACCTCCGTCCACCTGCAGCCTGGCTGAGGCGGGGCCCCGGGGCCCTTGGGGTGCTGCTGGGAAGCAGTCCCCCAGAGCCCCACCCCTCACCTCCCTACACAGGAGTGGACCCACCATTGGCCAGGGCTCTGGACCTTGTCTCAGGGCAGAGCCTGGGCCAATTCAGTTGTGACAGAGGTGATGTCAGAGACCTGGGCACCCCTCACTGCAGACCCCCGGCTGGGCCTCCCGCAAGCCCACATGGAGGGTGGGGCCAGGCTGCCACTCAGGGCAGATTATGGTCTCGTGGCCACCTTATCAGTGGTTGCATAAGCGTGTGGACCAGAGTGTCGCCGGGGAGGCGCCAAGGGCTGGTGGAGGCTGAGGCCGGCAAGACCTCTCCAGGTGACCTCTCCTGTCCACTCCAACAGGGCACCACAGAGACACTATCTAAGGAGCAGTGTGTGACCTCGGGGCACACTCCAGGCAGAGGTGGGGGTCCCCAGCCCCAAGGCCAGCTGTGGGCTCTGGAGTGGAAGTGGGCACAGGATCAGAGGAAGACTCCAACCCCAGAGGGCGGGGCAGAGCTGAGGGCGCCCGCCTGCCGCCTCCACTCGGTCTCGGGAGGCGCCAGCTCTCAACCAGGACCCCGAGTCATTGGATAGAATGCCACGAAAGCCTTTTGATGAGAACATTTACAAACTGCACATTTGATAAAGGACTTAAGCCCTCAATCTATAGAGAACTCTCGTGACACAATAAAAAAAAACAGACTAAAGATTTGAAAAGATTTGCAGGTGGCAAATATGCAGAGAGAGAGGCTCGCGGGTGTTGCGGCGAAACGCAGACTGAAACTGTGCCGAGATGCCACTGCACACCAGCAGGACAGGGACTCCATTTCTAACCCGAGACTGTCCCTGCCAGGGTGGGGAGAACCCCGCCGAATGGTCCGGCAGTTTCCCATGAAGGCAAACATTAACCACACGGCTGGACTGTCACACACCCAGCAACTTACCCAGGAGAAATGAAACACACACTGACCCGCCTGTGGCTGGTCCCGGGACCTTCTTGACAATCCCTGAGAAACGGAAATGACCAAATGCCGTTCAGCAGGGGACGGATGAACCACTCACTGCTCCCCGTGTGATGAGACCTTTGAAAGGCGGAAACACCGACTCACACGTCACAATTCGGATGACACCCCAAATGCGTTACACTGAGTGAGAGAAGCCAGTCTGTAAGGCCTGCAGACTTGGTTCCTTTCCTTGGGTGTTCCAGAACAGGCAAACCTGCGGGGACGGAGAGCTGTCCCACATTGCCTGGGACGTGGCGGGAGGGGCTGAGGACAAAGTGGCCCGTGGAGACTTCTGGGGTGATGGACTGTGCTGGTTACAGGACTGTCTGTGCTCGTCTAAACTTGCGGATCCGCACATCAAAGAGGGTGAACACTACTGTACGTAAACTATGCCCCAATTTTTTAAAAGTGTGTTTATAGCTACAATATATGTGTATACATACACTGTATAAACTCTTTCCCCAAGTGCCACCTCTTGGGATGAGGGACAGGGAGGCCAAAAGGACCACCAAGTCCACAGGCGACACACCCAAGGCTCCCAGGGAAGAGTGGGGGCGGAGTGCGGTGCAGGACAGAGACTGGACCTCCAACCACAGGACTACTGGGCGAGAGCAAGCAAGGGCCAAGTGACGGGTCACCGCGGCCTGCAGATCCCCTGAGGACCCTCAGAGGTGCGGGGCAGCACCTACCTTGCAGAGGACACACCCAACACCAGAATTTGCCCAGCCTTGGTCAGGGGACTCTCCACCAGAAATCTGGGGTGTCTGACCATCTCCTGGCCTCCCACTCCCCCCTCATCCCCCAAACCCACTCTCCACGCAGTGACCCACACAAACCTTGTACAGCATAAATCTTCCACACCCCGATTGAAAGCCTCTTGTGTCATCGTGGCACCCAGCGCAAACCCGCACCAGACCACCACGTGCATCAGCCAGGCCTCCGGCCTGCACCTTCCGGCCCAGCAGCCCTCTGGTCCCTCCCAGCACCCCCACTGGAGCTGCCTGCTCCCTGGGCTCCGTCTCGCCTCGGCCTCCCCCAAGCAACGTCCCCCAAGCAACGTCCCCCAAACCCCTGTCTTCTGTCTCCTGGCCACTTGAGCGTAATCCAAACGCTCTCCCGTGTCTGTTGTCTGCTCTGCCCGCACGCACTGCACACTCCGTGACAGCAGGAGCTGGACCAGCCTGTTGCTGGCCTATTGGCCTCTGTTCCCCTGGCCCAGAGAGGGGCTCATTAATATCTGGGAATGAAGTCGCTTTGACCAGCAGGTCTACTAAACTGGGACCTTCCCAGCACATCACCACATTTGCTTCAAAGAAGAGGCTTCCCCCTTCCACAGGGGTTTGGGGAACGTCTTCCCATGAAAGAGAGAAGCAACAGGGACAAAAGGGCGTTCAGGCCTGGTCCAGACACCTCAGGAGGGAAAGCGGTCTGGCCAGATGTCCTCTGCTCCAGTTCCGGGAAACCTTAAGCTGATAAACAGCGGTCTGTAGATGGTTTACATGAGAAGCCAAATACTATTATTATCTAAGCATCAGCCAAAGGTGGGAAGTCACAGCCAGTCAGTCCCAGTGCTCCCGCACTGAGACAGCACAGGGCCCTCGGTAGGTGTCTCAGCCGGTTTCTCCCAGTGACGTCAGCAGTAAACAGCTCCTTAAGCCACTTGGTGGTGATACTTTGAAAGACACCCACTCCAACAAATAGCGCCCCTCTTTCACTTCGGGTTCAAGGGAACCAGTCGCACCACGCTGCAGCACCAACAGTGACTTCTGATCGCACCGCACCTGGTGAGGTTGCCCCGCACCTCCGGCCCACCCAGAGGAGCCCGGGGCCTCTTCTCCAGTGCTCTGGGAAGGAGCAGGTGCTGGGAACGGCTGTTCCATCACCCCGTGTCTCCACCCATTGCCCTGTGCCTCCCCCATCACCCCACATCTCCCCGTCAGCCCCTTGCTCCAGGAATGAACGTCCCAGCCAGCACCCCCGTTGACGGGGGGCGTGCATTTTACTTTAGGAGCATCTGTGCCACTTTAATTTCTGTGTGGAACATATGTTATTTTCATTAACAAGCAATAAGCAATTTTTCTTTCAGGAAAGCAATTTTAACTACCATCCTGACCTCCCCATTGGGCTCCAGATTCACACATCCCACTCTCCTGTCTCCAGACATCTCAGATCCAACAGAGTCCAAAGCACCTCCTGGTGCCACCCGCCAGCGCCACCTGCACTCCGCGCCCACTGCTGTGCCCACCTGTGCTCAGGGCGAGCACCTGTGTTGCTGGTGGAGGCAACCGGTGTTCCAGGTTGTTGTTCCAGCCCAGAAAGAACTCAGAGACAAGACGTAGTGGTTAAAAAAGTAAAGTGAGAATTTATTAAAGGATGGACGGCACACTCTCAAGGGGAGAGCGGGCAGGCTCAGGTGAGCAGCTGCCTTGCGTTTCTCTGGCAAGTTGGTTACCCAGGGTGTAAAAATGAACGGGTGGAATATTCATTGGGGAGGGAAGGGCTTGGGGTCATATTCCCTGATTATCATCTCAACTCCACCTTCCCAAAGAGAGAAGTGATCTTTGTCCTTAGTCTGGATCAGAAGCGTCCTGGTGTCAGTGCTTGATGGGGACTTCTAATCTGCAAGGCTAACATTTTTGAAACGAGGGCATAATGAGCAAAAGGTTACATTTGCATACTGGAAACTGCTGCCTTTTCTCACCTTTCTTTTTCGGTCTCCAGGCCACTTATCACCGGAAAAGGTGTGACCACTTATCAGCCCAGAGGTTCCTGCTTTTCTTTCTCTGCCCAGGGACCCCGGTGCTTACATGATGTGTGGTTCCCTGCATTTGGCCTGTGCCCCTCCTTTCTGCCCATTCCTCCCATTTGGCCTACATCCCCCTTTCTCTATCACATCCAGCTCTCTGCCTGCTCTAACACCTGGAGGCCAGCCTGGGGCCCCTTCCTTTCTCACCGGCACCTCTAACCCAATGCCAAGGCCTGTAAGTGCAGCCTCCACACACACCCCAACAGCACCCTGCACCCCAGCAGTATCTCTGCCTGATCCATGGCTGAAACACTATTTTCCGTAACAGAGGCACGGGCGATTGAACCCAGGACCGTGTACACGTCGAGCACACACTCTACCACTGAGCTGTAGCCTACGCCCGAAACACTTTCTAAACCTCAGCAGATGCATTCCTGGAAGGCCGACCCCTACCAGGCAGGACAGCCAGAGGTCCGTGGGGCTGAGACTCCTGCGTGGATCCACCAGTGCCTTCCCACCGCAATCAGAGCATGGAGGGCCCACCAGGGTACAGGACACAGCAGGCTGTGGCTGGCGACCTGACCTTGTAGCCCGCCCCTTGCCTGCTGCCCTCAGATCCAGCCACCAGGGCCTCCTGAAGTTCATGCAAATAGGCCACTGAGTCCCACACAGCGGCTCACGTTTGAGGGTTCTCCCTGAGGGCCTCCCGAGGGGCGCGGGGGCGCGCGCGCGCACGCACACTGTGCCGGCCCCTCTGTATCCCCCTCCCCGTTCCGTTTCCCGATCTCCTCCCAGGTCTGTCTTCCTCTCTGCTTTACGAGGGCTAGGCCTCTGACTCCTCCGGGGGACCGCCAGCTCCTAGCGCAGAACTGGCACCAAGTGTGCACTTAGACTACTTTGGAATGAACTTGCTAAATCACCTGTGGCTGCACCACTATCCCGTGGTCGTTTCCCACAGACGTAATTCCTTAAGCAAAGCCCCTCCCCAACAAATACTAACACCCTCATTATG